CCCTATATAACCCCAATATACCGCGCATCAGCGCAAATAAGGGCTCCAGCCTGGTAAGCAGCTCTTTGTGTTGAACTTCTCTAGGGGCTTCATGCATGGAAGAAATGGCATAGCCATTTTCACAGCTCACTGAGGCATGGTCTTCTAAGAGCTACGCGCGGCTTGCAGGGGTTGGTTCGTTCTCTGCCATTGTTTGCTTAGATTGGCCTACCTACCTTGATGTCATACAGAGTTTTGTGCTGGACTTCTCTTCTCTCTGTGACCGCGAAATACCGGAGAAGAATGTGCCCTTGTTTGTAAGTAACTAAGTAGTTGGTCAGACACCGTGCGCAGATCTGATACGAGGCAGACTGGACATGTCAACTTGGCTTGGATGGCTTGGCTTTTGTGAGGGTTGGGAAACACCCCCTGGCAGGTCCCGCGTTTCACTGTCCAGAAGCCAGTAGTCGCTGGTGGCAAAACACCCAACGTGTCCGCACTATTGATATCGGGTGTTTCGGCACTATGCATCAGAAAGACCCAACACGTGCGACTCGCACTCGCCATTGACAATTGATAAACATGAGCCGCCCATCCACCACGAGAATTGCATGCACTTGCAATCTGCAATCCAGATCTCCGAAAGCAGCATGAGACCTTGCAGGCTGCTGATGCTGAGCCCGAGCCTGCCAGTGAGGCCACACTGTTGCAGCCAAGCTCCCCGCAAACAGCCTTGTGATGCTAACTCTTTCGTGAGCCGTGCGAGGGCCCTGAAGCTTGCGATAGCCCCAGCGCACATGGCAGGAGACTGCGGACTCTATGGATGCTGACAGTAAGGCCTACGAAGCAGAGCTCAAGGAGCAGATGGAATCTTCTCCAGCCGTGTTCTTCTTGAAATCCACTAGAAGGACCTTCTGGAGAAGAAGGAGGCAGCCAAAGCAGAAGAGGATTTTGACAAGGCGGAACAGCTGAAAGAGCAGGTGCGTTCACCCAGCGACTGCTTGACAAGTCTTGCCCACAGATGGAGGGAGTTAGAAATTCTTGTTTCTTTGACCAGACGAGGTTCAGCAAGTGAAGAGCAATGAGCTTGCACGGCTGAAGGTCAGCGCCCTAGGACTGAAGGAGCTTCTTGCGGCTCCAATACTAACATGTTTTTGAGGTGAAGAAGGACGAAGCGTTGAAGCAGGAGAACTATCTGGAGGCTGCTTCCTGCTTCTGACTGCATCCAGTGCTTCTAGCCTGAGCGGGAGAATTTGGCTGCGAAAGACCATGAGGCAAAGTCAATCAAAGCTCGCATTGCGAAGCTGGAGCTCTGAGTTCAGGGCCTCGTTGTACGCCAGCAGGTAGTCCGTGTTTCGGCGCACAGCATGCACGCTGGGCGTGCTCGAATCTGCGTCAATCCAGTGAAGGGTTTCAGGTGAGTTGACCGCCAAGAATGCTCTGGCGCAGCCTGAAGTGCTTTTGTGCAGCGAGTTTAGTTCAACCTCGTTTCCCACAGCGGCCGGCATAACCCGACCCTGGGCTCTAGACCACAGACCTGCCAGAGAATACCTGGAAAAACTGGGCCGCTCTTTGCTCTTGCCTTGTTGGATTACTGGTAGCTGGTAGCTGGAAGAGGAGTAACCTGAAGCCCTGCAAGCTGTTTTGTGCTGAGGTCTTCTCGCAGTGGACCTCATTCCTGGAGCTTATTGAGAGGGCCGGGCAGCTCTCCTCCTGCTCAAGCACATTATGCTGATGTCGCATAATTCTACGCTCCGCCCTTCCCTGCGGGAACGGCTTATGCTACGGATTAATTTGCCCCTGCTTACATGTGCCGTCGAAGGCCTTGGATGCAGCGCGCATCCAACACAGGCGTTTCGATACTTTGCTGCAAGCAGCTGTGTGGGCAAAGATGGGTACGGTCGGCCAAACAGATCATCCTTGGAAGTTCTGTGAACTTTGGACACCCTGCCAAGGATGGGTCTTTGAGCCGTGGTCTTAGTACGTGCCGTATATATATATATCTATATATGAGTGATGTTGATTGACACTCAAAGCCAACTGACTGGCTTCGAGCATGTTTTCTGCCTGAAATCCCCTTGAGACAAGTGCGAAGGCATCGATGAACGCGCGCAGCGTGTGGCATGGCTGAGTGAGCCCGCAGTTGGAGGCTGCATCCAGCAGTGCACCGCGAGAGCGTTATTTTGCCCTGCAGTTGGGGGGAGTGTCAGCTTGACATTGCGCAGTGATTGACGGAGAATTGTAGACACAGCAAACTCAGTTTTCCCTTCATCTATCCTCAACAGGAAATGGGGCTCGAGTCTGCAGCTAAGAGCACGCGAGATGAGTGAGCGCGGTCTAGATAAATGCAGGTAGTCACATATTATATACAGCTATGTAATATTAAGCAACTGCAGTGAGTCTTTTTGGCGAGCAGCCTCTGCAGCAAGGGAAGACAACATCTTCGAGCATTTTCGTTTCTTGTCAAAACTGCGCTGGAGGAAGGCGTCCAAAGATTCCTTCTGTGGCCAGCTGACTTCATGCGAGGTGCTTCTGGCTGGATTAAAGTCTGGCGGCACTGGCGGCGATCTTAGGGGTTCGGTTGTGTGGCCATGGTAGAGCTTGTGCTAGCACGGCAGGTAAATTTCTAGTGAGGATTCACGAGTGGTCTGACTGGCTAAGGCCTCAATTTGGTTGCAGCTTCGCGGCTTTACTTGCTGGATCTTTGGTGGAATCCCGCCCAAACCTCATCTCTACCAGCAGAGCATTCCCCCTGCTCCAACAAGTGCCGGGTTTTCCCATAGCTGATGGTGTATCAGGGACTGGCCCTGCTAGAGGCATCCCGCTAGCAAGCATTTACAGCAAGCTGACCTGACCTCCTCCAGGGTGCTTTTGGCCCATGGTTTGTTTGCGTTGGCCTGACCCCATGATGGCCCATGGTCTAGCATGGCCGGTGATGAAAGCATCAACCCTGTCCAGCCTTGATCCGAGGTAGTCTCTCAGGGAAGCAACAAGTCATGGTTGGGTTTGGGCCTGCAATGTCTTTCGTGACATGTAGCTGCACATGCACTGTATTAAGCAATGGACATGGACGCCTCATTTTGAAATTGCCTTGCCAGCTCAAGTAGTCAGACAGTCAGCCAGTCCTTGTGCTGCAAACTGTTGGGCCTGGTAGCTTGCATCGCAACAAAAGGGCCCCTAGGCCCTAGGTCAATATTCCCAACATAACTGTTTTGACCCAAGGCCGTGGAAGAGCAAGCAATTCAGCGAGTGCATCGGATTGGCCAGCAGCGGTCCTGGATTGCTCTTTTGGGTATAGTTGTGAAAATATTTTCTCGAAGACTCTGACGACCCAAGGAGCCCCACATTTTGCCTTTCTATCAGCAAGCCCTTCCCAGATGAGTGTAAATGGCGTTTGTGGTGAGCACATTGCGTCGTAGCTCCTCAGACATTCACAACATTACAACATCAAACCTCATCCGTGTCCAGCTGTCACGGATCTGATGAACTCCAGGAAGCAGGAAGTTCATGTCTACAAGTTTGTGGTGGAGGCCAGCTCCTTGCATCTACGTGGTGGTTACGCCAGTAGCAACTTGCGACAACCTTCGCTGAAAAGAATTGCTAGATCTCTTGCCTCAGCACCGCTGGTTGTTACACATCAGAGACGGCACCAGCCAGGTCGTCTCTAGTTAGACATGAGGCACCCGGCCTTGAAACTTAAACCGGGATCGTGCCCATTCCGTTTTTACCAAGTCGCATTAAGTTGCATAAGTGAGCAGGACACCATTGACTTGGACCTGCTTCAGCTGCACCGCGCCAAAGAACGACTGCTGGAAGATGCTTGGGCCCAAGCCATCAATGTAATAATCACACTCGGGATGTTGACTGGGGACGTGGAGGTTGGTGGAGGTGGTGGAGGTGGCGGCGCCCTCATCGGCAGAAGGAGGAGCAATATCAAGATGTACTATCTATCTAGTACTTCAACATCAACAGGCAGCACATGAGCAAGCAAGTGGGTGGGAGCGGCCTGGGATGCGTGCTAGAAGCAGCAGAAGCAACAGCAGTGCCTGCTGGAAGCAGAGAAGCAGCGTGAGCAGCAGTAGTAACTGGTAACAACCCAAACTCTTTCTGCGGCTGTAACTGCTGGAGCAGCATCTGCAGCATCCACTCAAATGGCTTTTCGACACGCACCCTCCTCCCCTGAGGCTCTCAGCGGAGGCAAGAGTCACGAAACTGCCACAAGGCTGACCATGGACGATCTGAAGCGCTGGCAGCTCAGCAAAGATCATGAGTTGCTTCCTCGAACGACTCGGTTCGATGCTAGGCCTTTTCAACCCATGCCGATCCCTCCGGACGGGAGGCTGATCAACGGGTTGGAGTCCAGGTTACGCTTGTTTGGCTTTTCTGATGCGGTCTTCAGCATCTAAGTTTCATGCCACTAATTGAAGCTGGTTAGGGAGACAAGGCCAGATGAGCAAAAAATGAGTAGGCCCTAATTCGGTTCGGGGTTTGTGCTGAACGGTCTTCCGTTTCAGCGGTGGGGTTCATGGGGAAGTGCCTGTCCAGCTGCATTGTGGGGCGCGTGAGACGCGATATCCTGTACAGGCTCTTCCGCCGCAGCTGAAGCCAAGGCCCAATCGAAGTGGTATCCTGCAAATTATTCTTGCCCTCCCGCACAAAAAAGGTACACGTTTAATGGCTAGTACATAAGATATATTGCACATCAGGTACTTGGCTGTTGAAAAGGGACTTCTTGGTTTTGTTCCAGTAACACCTGGTTCTGGGGATGCCCAAGATATGGGTTTACTTGTCCATTCGGCAAGTCTTGGCAGAAACTGTCTGCAAGCATTCCCATGCAGCCCCTTTGGCTCTCTGATAGCAGCCCCCCCTCCATGAGCCATGTAGATTCTGTCCATGGTTTCTCAGACGCCTTGCGAAGCTTCCCGGAAACCATGGATCTGGTAAAGTCAGGCAGACAGCACAATAGTAGCACCAGGGCGTCCATGAAGCATGGCAGCCCATACAACGCGGTAGATGCTCGGCTGCAGGCATGAGGTGCAAAGTCTTTCTGTGAGATGCTGCTTGAGGCTCCCAATGCTCCCATTTTCTGAACGTTTGCCCATCTTCTGGACGCCAGGGAAGCAGGCAGCAGGCGGTTCATGTTGCAGGCTGCTGGAAAGGGGCATGGGCCAGACAGGACGATCACTTTTTCCTTGTCTCGGTGGGCCCTGTATGGTGCCAGGGTGGGATGATTTGGGACAAAGTTGCCCCAAAGGATAAGCTACGACTGTTGTCTTCGATGATCTGTTAATTGTGAAGCCGAGGATGCGCCTCGTGTCTACAATGAGCGGACAAGGCAAGTCTTGAGGGCAGTCAAAAAGGCAGAGGAACCCAGAATCTGCCTTTGTCCCACGAGCATGACCGCTTCTCCCATGAATCCCAGACTCATCCATAAATAGATGTCTGTCCCAGCATGATGATGGCTTTGGCAGGAAGTTCGAGTACGCCTTCTTTACAGACAGGAACCCCAAGTTCGTTGAAACTCTCGGAAAGTTCCTTGAAAAGGACCCGTCTCAGAGGGGCAGCGCAGTCTGTCAGCGATTGCAGGCAAAATGCGTTAATTGTCAGGAGACTTTTGAGAAGGATGATTTCATCATTCGAGAAGGAGATAAGGGCTATAGCATGCTTCCTGGCCTATGTGGACACTTGAAAGGCACGTTGCCAATTTTAGTGCTGTGCCTGCCTCAAGGTATTTCTTCTGCTCGGGCAGCGCCATCATGTGCACTGGAGCAGATTTTCATGAAGTGCAAATTCTGACACGAGGACGCGGTGCAGGCAGTTCTAGACGTGACTTTTTGCTTTGAGTGCAGCGAAACCGCAAGCGTGCGTAGCTGGGATCTTCAGGAGATCAATGTGGAGAACTGGCCTTGCTCGGCATCACTCATAGAAGTTGTAGCGTCGTCGCTCGGGAGCGCACTGCGCCTTGCCCGAAAGCTCTGGCTGAACTCTCTGACAGGTCTTGGTGGTGTAGCGTGTGCTTTCAAAATGTCAAGCTGTTTTCAGCAATCTGAAGGAGACAGAACATATTTGTCAGGCGCAGGGTTTTGAAAGATACCAAATGACTTGTGAAGTTCTAGCGCTGGTGCTATGCGTTAATATGGTCTTTATGATTCCCCTGCGCGATCCCAAGCCTACTCCATGCTGCCGATGCGAAGCTCAGTACTCGCAGGTTTGACCGTGAGACATTGCCCAATTTTGAGTTGCTGTGTCTTATGCAGGAATGCCTCGTGCTGAAGAAGCGCTTTTTTCAAGCAGTTGTCGAAAGGCCGGAGCATGCCGGGACCAGATTGCTTGCAACAGCACGGAAGACACCCGTGTGAAGGTTCCCAGAAGAGAAGGAATACTTTGCGCAGGTTGCTGCTGTTAGAAAGCAGGACAGAATCCAGCATTGCAGCATCAAAGCATGGGTGCAGAGCAGTGGTTGCGATCTATGGAAGTCTTGGACTGGCAATCCCCTCCTCAGAGGAGCTGAAGCTGAACTATGATTCGGAGCGAAGTGCCCGGCACCGGAACAGAAGACTGTCCCGGCATGGCAACAAGGAGGCAGAAGGCGCTGCAGGATCTCAGGATTTGATATCGACGAGGGTGGGTGCAAGTCACAGACGTGCTCAAGTTTCGTGGAGGCGACTCAGACCGCGATGCCACGGATGACCCGGCGCCGAGCCTCCCTGAGGCGGCGCTCGTGACTGTCCTAGCCGGAGCCGCCCAAGCTCCTGCTCTGCCTGCTCTGCAGGCCGACACCTCCTCTCCGCTGCCAGATGCAGAGATCCCAGGGTTCCTTCCTCAGCTTTGGGCTGTTCGTGGTAATTTCTTGATCGTGGCTTGCATGCTGGCGGATGTGCATAGCAAGCCAAGGCAAGCCCCCGCTCTTTCTCACCTGCTGCTCGGCTTTGTTTGCTGCAGACGCTTGAAACAGTTCGTAAGTGTTTGAAACGAGAATAGGCCTGCAATCCAGTTTGCCTTTGTCATCATGTCATCGCGGCATCCAAAGTCTAAGAGCTGCCCACGGAAGACCTTGCTCAGGTCGGTCAAACAGCTTCTGGCACCCCCTCCACGGCAGGGACCTCTGCAGCTCGCACCGCTTGGCCAGGCGCGGACCTTGCTGCCAAGAGCGAAGCTAGATGTTGCTGTTAATATCCAAATCAAGGTCTGCTGCGGCTTGAGCTGAATGCATAATGGCCGAAGGAGCAGCAACGTGTCCGAAATGGTAGAAGAGGCTTCCAGTGACTTGATCGCAAATGCTCCGATGGAACCTCTCGCAAATGCTCCGATGGGACCCCTCACTTAATGACAGCACTTACCAGCTGCGGTGACTGACATGATATGAGCTTGTTGAGGCTGATGACTGCATCATACTGAGGCACCGCATGGCCAAGGAATTGACCACGGTGGGACACGCAGCGCTCGCCAGGAAGATGGAAGTTGCTGCTGCCTTGCATGAGGCACGGACTGTTTGAACAGTTGCTTGTGGAGGGGGGGGGGGTGGCGGAGAAAGCCAGGACAGATTGTGGTTTGGATGGATGGATCACCTCGTATCCAGCAAGTGCGATTTAGTAATTCATGAGCCTGGCTAAAGATAGATCGCGTGAAGGAGATGCAGCCGCCGTCTTCCAGCTCATTAATACCTACCCGAAGAGCAGCGCGAAGCCACTCTCTGACTCAGGTGGGATGCGAGTTGTTGAGCGTAAGTCCGGCCTGACATGTCAGCATCACTTCCCATCATTGGCTGCGCAATGCTGCGCAGGTCCCTGCACTTGAGCGTTTGAAGCCGCAACGGAAGGCTGCCAGACTTTTCCGTTCTGGGGTGAAGCCTGCTGCTGCTAGGTGTTCCTAAGCCATTCCTGCTTTCTTGTCAGCGTTATTTTGCGCGTGAAGCAATGCTCAACACCCTCGTGGGGGACAAAGCCGCAGGGTCAGGCCTTGAATTTAAGGCCAGCGGTCAAAAGGGCCCATAGGAAAATTGTAAGCAAACGAGACACGGACCTTAAACGGAGTTATCTGTACCTTACAAGAGGTCATGATAAGGATGTGCCTGTTTATTGGACATGTGGCGGCACCCACCGAAAGGATTCCCGGGACCTCATTTGGCTGATTGGCTTGGACAACCGACCTGACCTCCTGTCTAGGAGGCTGAAGATTTGCCACAGCTGCCGTGTCAGCCAGCACATGCCCGAGACTTCCCGCCCGTCAAAGGAAGTGTCAGCAAGGCAGAGGAGCAAGTACTCATTCTGCTTTGCCATTGCTGGGGGCCTTGAAACTGGCCTGCGCTTATTTGATATGCAAGCTCTTCCCCTGAACAGGTTGAGATTGAGTACGAGGATCCGCCTCCAGCTAAGAAGGTTCTTCAAGATGATGATGATGACGACGACGGCTTTGACTTCCTGAATATGGACCTCAACGCAATCGATCCCTGGGCAAGTCCCTTGCCTCAGTGCAGAAATAGTGCTGCCATCAAAGAAACTTCGACTTTGACTGAGCTCTCCCGAACTGTTGAATTGGGCTAAACTGACATTGAAGCCATCTGTCTAGGACCTACAGGAGTCTAGGGGTACCCTCGTCTCACGTTGCAGTTCCTGACCCTGGGCGGTAGTATGCCAGACTCAAGGAGCTGTCTCTGCCTAGCTGTGCTGCGACGAACTCGGACCTTGGCAGCATGGTGGCAACCCTGGTACACCAGTTTCAAGGAGCAGGCTTGCCATGAATGCAGTAAAGCAAAGACCAGCAAAGTGACATACCGAGGTGTTTTGGCTTTGCACGGCTATGTGATGTATCGCGGGCAGTCTCAGCGACAGAGCTCAAGTAGCTTGGAGGTTCCGCTCCTCAAGATACATCAAGATACCTTCTGGAATGCGCTGCCATATGGCACGGCTTGCAACTTCACTATTGCTTGTAGCCGTGCTGGTTCCTGCACGCATTTCAGTCTCATTGTGCATGTTGCGCTGGGAGGGGCTGATGCCTGCATCAGGATCACTGTGACACCAGCCAAGTTAAGCCAAGCAAAGGCTTTGACATGTGCTTGGTATACCCCAAAGCCTTCAGAAAGTTGAAGCTCACGGGTGTTTTGAAGCAACTACATCTTGGGACAGTCAACATGTCTGGTTTGCACGCCAGCAATTTCTCAGGCACGTTTGTGTCTCTTTGTAATCCAGTATGATTCAATAAGATAGATGAGACGTTTGGTGGCACAGTGGCATGAGGAGGGCATCTTGCAGCTGCATTTTCCAGCAGCCTGGTGCAAATTTTGTGCAAGACAGCAGAGCACAATGGCTTGCAAGGATTTGTAACGCATCAGAGTTGTAGTAAGGACGGCTTAGATGCCTTGCAAGACATGCTCAGACAGGCTAACGGTATACTATAACATGATACAACAAGATTTTACCCTGTCAGCTTTCCACTTCCAAGGGAAGCGAGAGACTTCAAGTAGTCAGCGTCTTCGCACCTGATGAACCGGCTGTCCTACTGCTCGGTCCGTGTAATGCAATGTGTCTTCGCTTCCCACCTACCCTGAAGGGTTTTGCGACGCAGATTCACAGGGGGATTTTTGAAATGGGGCTCAGTCCAAGATCGGCTGGTGGTTTTGTTTTTTCGTTTATGCTTGATCTTGGGCAGGGCCTGTCTTTCAAGGCTGAGTCGTTCCAGCATGTCCGCAAAGCGGAACGTGCATGGGATGTCTCCATCGCTGCACTTAGTAGCGAGACATGTGTAGTCTTGTGCGGCTTTTAATTGGATTTTTGAACGGCTGCCTGCGCGGACCTCCTCCTGCATAGGAGCTGCAGGAGGAGATGCCAGCCGGGCGTTCCAGCACACGCGAGTTCCAGCTGCGCTGAGAGCATGTTCCTGCTGAGGCTCATGCCTCCGTTTAAATTAAAGATGGTTTAGTGTGAGGTTGGGCGGTGAGTAAGTCGTAATTAGGTGACCTTCAGTATCAAGTCTGTTGCAAATCATTTTAGGATTCTAGCGCTTATGGCTATCCTTATAGAGTAGGGCCAGGAGCCCACATTGAAATCGCCGGGGTGTTCCTGGTGGGAACCTACCGAAGTGGCATCCCTGCGTCAGGACACAAGGCTGGGAATAGCTCCAGCAAGTTAGGCAAAAGGGCCAGGACTATGGGCGGCAAAAGAAGTGTGATGCGCTCCACTTGATGCAGTGCGTGCCAAAGGCTCCCATTGGTGCAAGCCTTTCAGGCCAGCAGCGTGCCCAACAAGATCCCCCTTGTAATCATCTCCGCCTTCCAAAAGACGGTATGAAAACTTGCATTGGTGGCGAGGGCATCCAATTCGTAGCCAGGGTTGCGCTATGATTACAATGCATTATGCTGAAGCTTGCTCAGCATTTGTCAGGTGCATCCCAGGCCCTGCCATAACCCTTCCCGAGAAAGGAGCACAGGCACTATGACGTTGATTTTGGAAAGGCTAGAACTCGTCATAGGGCTGAAGGCCAGGGCTACCTTCAAGGAAGGAAGTAGTGAGCTACGTCCTGGTCTGCGGAGTTGAAAGGCTCTGGGCCTTCCTGATGTGGGTGCTGCTTCGGCGTCTGCGGGTCCAATGCAGGACAATTCACTGGCATTTGCTATGGCATATGTGATTCTTACGGTCTTCTGATGCTGAATTTGGGGGTCACCGAAGGATGCTGACATCTTTTTGCTCCATGTGCCAGTGCAGGAGCAAGTCTTTCCTGAGCGCAGGGAGCCAGTGCCGAACTCAGCCCAACCGAGATGCAACTGCTACAGGGCACGGCAAATCCTGGATCTGAAGCTGGAGGAAAGAGAGGCATGAAATTGGTGGTCGTCGACTTCATCACTTAGTCCTCGAGTGTTGCCAGGAATTTGCAAGAGTGAACTCAGGGTATATATGGCGAGGCCCATACAGGCTGAGGGTGGGTAGCTTTGGCCTCTGTAACCTTCCTGCCATGGGATCTGGAAGCTCTGCGCAGAAGAGCAAAGCCGCACATGTTGCCGCTTAGCTTCCAAGTTCTGATGCTTAGATCGCTGTCGGTTTCTGGCTTGTTTGACTCATTCAATGGTCTTGCAGGAGCCACCGGGGCTGCATGAGCCAAAGGCAAGCGACCACGTTGCTTGGCCATTGTCTATGGGCAGCTGCTGGTCGGCACAGCATAAGCATGGGAGTTCTTGCAACCTCAGGCATTAGACCTCAACACTGTGGAAGGCCGTGCATCTGCAATGCAGGCTGGCTTGCGCAAAGAATGCGCATAGACTGGCCAGAGGGTTCAGGGCACGGTGTGCTTGCATTTCTGCAATGGCTTCAAGACATCATTCACAAAGCGCTGAAACCATATTGTTCGATAAAGCTACCGATGCGTGACCGCTGCTGTCACATCCTCACTGACCCCGCAAGCCTATGAAGACATCGCATGTATGAAGTCCTGCTTCCTCCGCGATTGCAAGTCAATTCACATGTTCTGGATTGGGTTCTCTCGTTGCGGGTGTTGGTGCTGGTGCTTCTGCTGATGCTGGTGCCGGTTGCTGGTTTCTTGTGCGAGTTGTGGTGGTGGTGGTGCTGCTGCTGCTGCTGGTGCTGGTGCTGGTGCTGCTGGTGCTGTGATGGTGGTGGTGGTGGTGCTGCTGCTGCTGGTGCTGCGGCTGGTGCTGCGGCTGGTGCTGGTGCTGCTGCTGCTGCTGGTGGTGCTGCTGCTGGGGGGTGCAGTTGGAGGAGCCCTAGTGGCAGTACCTGACATACCAACAGCAGGAGTAGCAATGGCACTAACAATAGCAGACGCAGCAGCTGTATTGCTCGTATTGATGTTGGTGATGGGTTGCTGCTGTTGCTGTTGCTGTGTTTGTAGCGAGCATCGGCATGGTTGGTGTGCGATGTTCCGCAGTACAGCAAGCTTTTGTCGAAACCTGGGATAGCAGGCGAGCTTGCAGATGACGAAGGAGCAGTTTCAGGAACACATGCAACAGCTCCAGCGCAAGTTCAAGCGGAAGTTGGATATTGCCCAGACAGAACATCGTGGTTTATCTTTGGGGCAGCTGCATAGCGCGCACAAATCACCAGCAAACTGCTCACGTTCTGGCTTTGTTGCATTGACGTTGTCGCTGTTCTGTCTTTTAAGGTTGCACGAAATCCAGAGCTTTGCACAAGAACACTGCGGCCTTTGGCGTGACTTAGCGCCAGCCGAATATTCAAAGACATCTGGACAAACGTTACAGATGGATTTCCTGAACCTCTACCACCTCTGCACTTGGTGTATCCTCCCTGCTACACATGTGGAAAACTGCAGCTTCGTGGAGCAGCTGGGCGGCAGGATTCTCACCTAAAATCTGAAATGCATCCGGCAAACTGCCTGCGTGCTGTAGGTCAACTCACAGGGGTGAGACCGGTGCAACTTAACAAAGCAAGCAATGCAGAAATCAAAGGGAAAAACTCTTGCTGGCAAAAGCCGCAGTCCAGGCTTTTGGCAGATGGAGATCAGATACCCAACTGGTTCTGCAGCCATTGGCTACCCAGCCTTTCTGGTACAAGTTTTGTCCGTGGATCCTTCCGTTGTTGCGCAGAAGACGTACTGAACCGGTTTAGCCGGAGGTTGCGCAAGCAGTCTCTAGTGCTGAACAAAGAGATGTGCTCTTGTGAGGTGGGGTGAGCCCATCCAAGACTTCATTTGCTGCGTGGAAGCCCATCAAACCCTGCGGCAAAGCGATGCCTGTCACGAGCGGGTGGTTATGGGCTGGAGCATGCATGTGTGAGGCCAGTGTGAGGCCAGTGGCTGGAGCTGAGGACCTCTATTGGATATGTGCCTATGCGAATCGGCAGCACTCCTTGCACGAGGAGCTCGTTACTGATCCATCAGAGACCAGCTTCTACAAGGCCTGATGCGAGCGAGCTTCACCACCTTGCATGCGTTCGTTCCTTCTGCAAAAGTTGGTCGGGGCATCAGCTCTTCGCAAGCGAAGGCGATGCGTTTGTCAAAGGGCGTGCTGATCATACTTGACGAACTGGGTCCAGCAACTCCTTTCACTCGAAGCTTAGCAGCAATGGTTGGTCTACATCGAAGATGCTCGCATTGGTACCTGTTTTCTGTCTTCAGGAATTTGGTGCGCATTCGAAGCTTATGTGGCACTTGTGGACAGGCCTCAAGAAGAGGCCGTTATGCTTTTCCAGTTTAGCATGTTGCCGCTGCTCGGACGTTCCTTTGATGACAGGTGATGCTCCTTGACATATCTTGCTATCATGACAAGACCACCTACATCTTGACAGATGGGCTGGCTGCCAATGAAGCTAAGATTCAGGATTGTCTTCAGCCGCACCATGAATGATCACCCGTCATGTTCTCATATGCACTGGCATATCATCAATGCGGAAGGAGCGGGGTAATGAACTCAGTGCTCTGGCCTTGGCACAGTCACTGAAACTCGGCAGCTAGCAGCGAAGATGTTTGTTGAAAGTCACTTGCCTTTCTTGATCAAGCCCGACTTTTGGAAGGAAGTCACTTCGGGAGATGTGCTTTCCCGTTGCAGTTTTTGAGCGTGGCCTATCGCTAGAGCTACATCATGCTCAAGCTTCACGAGCATTCCAGCCGCACATGGAACGCAGCATCTGACCTTCTATTCAGTTCATTCGGGCGCTGCTGCAGGACCTTGACCGGCGCAGGATTCTGAACAGCTTCGTGGGCCGTACGGGGGAAGGCTTGGATGAGGAACCGTACATGAGCCATCCAAAGTATGAGCCTTGCTTAGGCAATATAAATTGCCAGCGAGCGTTTTCAACGTCAAGTGCTCAGCAGCAAAGGATGAAGTCAACATTCGCCTCCGCTCAGTTCTAGCCCTGGCTGCCTGGAACCAGATGGCAACCTCACAGGTAACGCGGCTGAACTTCTGAGCAGCTTGAAACAGTTCGCACGCAAAAAGCGGCCCGCTTCACCAAGTCCAAGCAATTGTTCTTGGACGTCGCTGCATGCCTGGCAGCAGACCGGTGGAGGGATACTTTGACTTTCGACCTCAGTCGGCTGCCCACTGCAGGCGATGTTGCGTTGCAGGGTGACTTGGCAGGGTCATATGCAGTGCATGAACAAAGTAAACAGTCTCTAAGTCCCAGCTTGCTTGCAATCAGGTGTTGGCCAAAGTTTGCCTCCGCAGCTGCAACAGCTGAAGCTGGACTGCTCGAGCTGTTCCAAGTTGACTTCTTCTGGCTTTGAGGCTTTTGCAGAGAATCTCCCCCAAGGCGGGGTCTATGAAGTGCATCGAGCTACGACGACCAGCGAGCGCCACATGTTCAGGCCTCACGAGCCTCATGCTCAACCTGTCAAGATGCGAGGGCCTCTCAGACAAAGATGTTGCTGTGTCACTCGGCCTGCCCGCTGCAAAGTTCTGTTTCCTCGAAGGTGTGTAGCGGAAATGAGCTTGCCAAGCGAAGATAACCAGAAGTGGATTATTGTGGGATTGGTGAGAAGTCGCTCCCTAGGCTCGTGGCCCACATGCCGCGGACACTTCAGAAGCTGGATTTGTGGCTGGCCCAATGCAGCATCACTGATATCAGCCTCGCTGCCTTGGACACCTGTCTAAGATCGATGTGTTTAGGGGCTGCCGTTCGTCTGGCTTCTGAGCATTGAGCCGCAATGAACCCCAGGCAGATGGCATACAGATGGCATTGCTGGAGCTGAAGGAGCTGAAAGTGAATCTCTGCAACTGTTCAAAGATTGGTGATCCTGGCCTGGCAGCGCTGGGCAGCAGGCTACCAAGCTCGCTCCGGTACTTGAAGGCTTCGAGATCTGTGGATCGAGCAGAAGCTGAAACATGCCCAAACTGCAAAATCCTCGTGTTGCTGCACTGCTGCGTCATCTGGTGAGCAGGTGGTCTTAGCGGGACGGCAGCGGTTGACGGATGCTGGCCTAGCTGCCCTTCTCCGCCAGTTGCCGCCAGATGTTGAGGAAGTCGAAGTAGCACTGGTGCAGTCCGACTGGTGCCTTGGATGTGATGGCCTGGTATCTAATGTGAACTCCAGCCGTTTGTAGTTGCTCCAGGCTCACTGATGCTGGCTTTGCTGCGGCCATTGCAGCACTGCCTCCTTCACTGCAGCAAGCTACTCTTCGGGCCGACATTTGTTCGGGCTTGTCCCTGGCAGCAAGGCGGGAGTCGTCAAAAAATCTTTACATGAGAGACAGACCTTCTCAGCTCCTGCCTGCCAGGAGAGTGTCTGGCCAGCCTTTGGTGTCCTTGCGTGCATGGATGGAGGCGAGTGCCTTTTTAGGATTTCTGGACTCATGAAATCACCCGTGGATGCTGCAGGCTTCTGGGGAAGTTCCTGCTTCTCCTGCAAACTGTGCTGCTGCACTTTTCGATGAAGCGCGCGGGCTGCTTGAGGCCAAAGGGAAGGGAAGGACCCGTGACTCCAAAAGATGGCAGGAGGCATTCTCAGAGTAATGTACAGGCCACATGGGATTGCGGTCTTTCTAAGGATAGCCACCCCAGAGCTGGAGGATGGTTGGAGCCTCTCCTTGCCCATCCCGCAAGACCAGTCACTCAGCCAATCGCAGGAGCAGCACTGCCGAACTTCAATGGGACACTGAAACTTTTGAAGTGCTCTGTTTCCAAGGTTGGATCTAGTCCTGCCTTCGTTGATCTTCGGCTTGAGGCATGCATCCCACTTGCAGCATTTGGCACTCGACTTCCAGGCAGGCCCGCAAGACCCCAGCAGTCACTCCAAGTGCATCCAAGTGCATTGGGGCCTGGTCTCCAGGATTGTCCAGACTTCGGAGACGAGGAGCTGGAGAGCTTGGTGAGCGCTCTGCCGTCTGGCTTGCTGACGCTGAACTTGTGTTTGCATCCTGGACAGAGCAGAAAGATAAAAGCGGACGCATGCACCACTGAAATTCAAATTGGGATGATGGGGGACAATGCAAGGTGGGGTCTTGGCAAGATTTCTTCGGCTGGCACTCGTGCTCTTTCAGCTGCGCTGCCTTCAGCGCTCAGCGACTTCACGCTCATGTTAGGCTGGAGACAGAGTGAGCGCACTGCAGCTTGGACTGCTGGTCAAACAGGTAAACTTGTGTAAAGCTCCCGCGCAGGCGGCAGATATTGCGATGTAGCCTCTGCTTTGGCTACCTTGGCTTTGAGTCGTACCCAGTTGACAAAGCTCACAGTCTACGTAAGTGGCTCGATGCCAGTATTCGGCAAATTTTACACTCTGCGGGCATGTGCTTTTAGAGATTGAAAAAGAATCCGTACGCGCAGGCGCGCGGCTGCAGATTAGGCTGCAGAAGGTGCTTGCCTGCTGTGACATGGGATCAGGCTCGCTCAACGATGAGTCGCTGGCAACTTTTGTGTTCAACCTGCCAAGCTGCCTCCAGCACTTGAGCCTAACGCTCATGGAAGGCCTAGAGCCCAGTTCTGTCATTCCATGTGTTTTGTCTCACAAGTTGCTTCTGGGGTCGGGAGACGTTCCGCGCTCCGAGGCTATTGGCTTTCGGATGCTGGTTTAGCAGCTTTAGCTGCCTACTTGCCAGACGCTGTGGTGTTGAAGCTGGAGTTGAATACAGGGACTGACCTATCGCAATCCGCACTCGAGGATCCCTGTCTGAAAGATTTTAGAGCGGAACTGTGGTCGTGCTATCCTGGCCGTCCTGCATGACCTAGTCTGTGATAGAAGGTATAGGGGCTTTTGCTGAGGTGGCCAGATCCGCAACTCGAGAGTCTTTGCAAGCTTGGTTGAAGTCCTCCGGGGCACAGCCTGCCAAGGCTTCGGGCGTCTAAGTTTGAGGCGAGAAGCTGCTCTGCTTCAGAACTGCTATTTGTCTCACTGACCGCGACTGCCCTCCTGAATTTGGGAGGGCAGAGCAAAGCGTGTCTCCAACAATGGCGAGCTGCCATCAGCTTCTTCCGGGGCAAAGTCTCCCCGTGACATGCAAAAAATCCGCAAACAGCAAGCTGAACTCCTCGATTGCATCATAGCCCTGCCCTTCATTTGGCTGCTTGGGGGGGGGGGGTAGGAACCGTTTCAGTTGTCATATTCGCACATGCACATGCCTGGACATTTTCCTGGTGAGGAAGAAGATGTTGCGATGCCTCAAGCAGAATTGCTGGATGCCCAACAGCAGGCCTGTCGTGGTGCATGGTTCCAATCAAAGTCTTGAGACTGACATCCACACCTTCATTTACTAAAACGGCAATACTGGCATAGCACGCATCTTGCTGCGTTGTGGATTGTTAGGCAGAAGCTCCTCCAGAAGCACCAGCCTCACCGCCGGAAGCAGTGGCAACTCCGCAGAATCCAAGCCGCTCACCTCCTTCCTCGACTGCGGCACAAATGCAGGCCTGACAGAAGAACTGTGATGTTGCGTCTGGATGCCTTGGAGCAGCGCTGCAATGATACATCAGAGAAGGCGGCTTTGCGGCTTGCACTGGGCAAGGTGACTGCCGAACCATTGCAGCTGACCGTGCCAGATTGGGAGGCTTCAGCATAGAGAAGGGTGAGTGGAGCGTTTGCATTTGCATGCCATTCATGATCTTCACAGCTCAGAGTGGCAGGCTGCTGGCCAAGAGTTGGGTCAAGGCCTTTGGCACGTTGCCTTTGAGCACAAGCCCAAAAAGCTTTTGATTCTGCTGCCAGGGTCCGATTGTTAGGACTGGGTCAAGCCGACGCATCCGATTGCCACATCATGATCAAATCGAGAGCTAGCCCTGGCCCATGCAGAAATCAAGCTTGGCATCTCGAGCCACAACAGGTGAGAATAGTCCCGGCAGCAAACCTGACCATGTAGCAATGGTTGAGCCTGCAGCCAAGCGCCGCTGTTTGGATGCATCGGACGGGCGGCCAATCTGGGAGGCTTCAATTGCGAGACTGCTGGCCTTGCTGCTGTCTTGGTGATGCTATGCAGGCCTGGCGTTGGGGCGGAGCTGGTTGGCGGCCATATGACGACGCAGACCAGAACGCGCTGCCTTTCTATGTTAAACATGAGCATGGGCATGGGCTACGTGCTGGCTGGGTGAGTGAGAGCAAATGTGGCCGAGCGTCCGCTGAGGTTGGAAGAAGCATATCTGACCGGGCAGGACTGCCTAGCATGCAAAGGCATCGCCCCACATGCTGATCCGCCTCCACCGCAAGTCCTCCTTTGTAGTCAGGATGTGGCAGCGATCGGAGAGCAGCTCGTCTTGCAGCATTTGTCAGCCATTGCAAAATCTTGAGGATGGGTGCCTCACTCAGGTCAGGGAGCACAGAGTCAAGACAGCATTCAGTATACAGTAGTCTCTTGAGCCTGTGTCTGATAGACCTGTGGCCGGACCACTTTGAGGTCCTGTGGACCCCCTGTGGGCAATGCGCCGAGCTGAAAATTGGTTCTGTTCGCCCAGCACGCCGCCGTTGGGTGTCTGGCGAGGACCCAGGGCAGGGGTTGGGTGACGGTTGCTTATGGCATGCAATTGCTTGCAATGAGCGAGGCTTCTGCTGACACCGCTGCATCATGCAAAGTTCGCTGGTTTGAGGGCTCAGAGATTTTCCTAAATCGGCTGGCTTCACAGCGGACCGAAAGCAAAGACCTTCTTGTTGACCTGACGGCAGAAGACACAGCTAGACCCCTCACATGCAGCGGAGAGCTGTCGTTGGAAGATCTTGTGGCTGGACGCGAACTCCAGTCTGTTCTGGTGGCCAGCTATGGAATGAACAGGGAGGACGTCCTTACCGTATTTGGTCACCCGGAGACCTTGACGCTCGTGGACCAGTATGACAACGTTCGCGAGGAGCCAGGGGTGGAGCAGCTTGTGGGAGATGGGACGGCATACTCGGGATGGACGCTGGTCCGCCCAATGTTTGAACAGGGTCCAGCATACAAAGGCAAGCTTCCAAGCTAGGGATCAGTTTGAGGGCTTGACCCGCTTAAAGGGTTTGAAACCAAATTCAAATCCAACTTGCCCCTTTCAGGCGGCGTCATGCATCCAAAGCTTCTTCTGCTCGAGTTCGCTGATCGTCTCAGAGTTGTGGTTTCTTCTGCAAACTTTTCACGTGCTGGATTTTCAGAGATTTCCCAGTGTATTTGGGTCTGCGACTTCTTGATGTCCGAGCGCAAGACGAAGAGAACCGACTTTGGAGCATCCCTGTCAGACTTTGTTGACCGCTTGCTCACCATCAACACTGGCAGCCAAGGCCCTCTTGTGCTCCAAAGGGATCAACACGCAGTATCGAGAAGCATCATTCTTACCTGATCAGTGCGCCTGAGAAACGTGTACCCACAACAGCAACTGCTGTTCCCTGATCAGGTGCAGATTTGGCTAAGAAAGTTCGTCAGAAGTGGTTGGGCATTCTTTCGAAGTATGATTTGAAGGTGCCAGAAGGCCCGGGAAGCTAGATGCGATGGGGGCGATCTCGAGTGGCTCTGCCAGTGAAGTAAGGCGTCCATCTGGTTGCCAGTGTGCCCGGCCGGCACTGGAGCCCTGCTTTCGGCCTGGGAAGGCTGCAGCATTTGCTCAGCGAAGCCAGCAGGAAAGGCTCCCGCTGGAGCCAAGTCTGGTACCAATTCTCATCCTGCGGCCAGGTCCACCTGGAAGGGATTTGGGTCTTGAAGTTACAATGTGTCAGCTGTTGTTTTGGGCAGGTCCGCTCGGGCAAGTGGTTCGACAAGTTTGCCAAGGCTGTCTCAGATCCTGAGTGCTCAGCCTAGCAACAGAGATGTTCTGGTCAAAGAGTGCTACAACTTTGCTTTAGCTAAGATTTGGCTCAGGTCCAGGCAGCAGGATCTGAGACTCATCTGGCCCACGGAGAAACAAGCTTTGCAGAAGGGAGTAGTCGGTCGAGGCTCGAGGTGCTGCTCTGAAGATGGCTGGAAAGACTTCTCTACAATATGCCTAGGCAACTACCCCTGGATGACTACGACAACTTGCCACGAGGCCAAGCTCCAACCATTTCCACCACGGCATTTGTTGAAATAGAGTTGCTTTGCAAGTTGGAGGACGTCTCCACTGCCTGCAGCCAGCAGAAGACCGCCCACCACAGGTCCTGCTGCATAGCAAGGTAATGGCTGCAGAGGCTAGTGGCGTCAAAAGCCTTGCCGCTGCAATGTAACAAACTAGTCTATTCAGAAAAGTCCCCAGAGGTGGCTTCAGAGCCTGGAAAGTTGGCCTGGGTCTATGCGGGCTCTCACAATCTGAGCTCTGCAGCCTGGGGTATGCAGGCCTGGCTTTCATGAGGCGCTGCTTTTGCATGCTTTTGGAGTTTGCTTCATGTGTGTGGGGGTGGATGAGGTTGAAGAGGAACTACGCATTAGCTGCTGTGCTGCAATTTGGTTGTGTTTCGCAGCTCGCTTGTGTTTATCCAGCTCAGGTAGCTGGGAACTAGGCATCCTCATGATCTTGCCCGCAAAGTGCAATCTGCCTTTCAAAATGCCAGCGCAGTCAAGCTGCACATGGAGCGTGTAATTAGGACTTTCCACACACATTTTGGCAGGTCAGGTGCTCAGCAACTTTGGACTGAGGCCATCCTACTCAAATGCAGACAGGCCCTGGTCCCCTGCGAGCTTCTACAGGACCCTCGGACCCTCGCAAAGTGCACCCTGAGAGGATTCATGAAGAGTCTCTTGACTTTCTGCAGTGAAGGACGGTGTTTCATGCTGGAGAGCAAGAATCGGAATTGCAGCGGCAACGTGATTGTTACGCAAAACTGGCAGCTCTCATGCAGAAGGCCTCTTGGCCAGCTGACCTGCTACCCTTCGTGAGCTATAGTCGAAGTCCTTCAAAGGGGTTATATGGGGGATTGTATAGGGGAGTAGTGTAGTTAAGAGGGATACTAGGAGTTTATACTATAGCTCATGTGGGAATCTTTGCTACATGAAGGGCCGTACCGCATGTTTTTGTGGCCTGACTGGCTGCCCATTCATGGTTTCTGGCCGCATGGCCAGGCACCAAATCCAACAGGCCTGCCAATGGTCCAGGGCATGTTTGGCGAAGAAGATGTTGCAGACGGGAAAGTATTGCTTCGGGTTTTCCTAGACCTTGAGGACACCGTGCCTCGGCTGAACCACCTGTAAATCCTGAAAAGGTAATTTGCAGCAGTGGCGTGAGCAGCGATGCGGGAGCTGCCAGGATCTAGAGGCTAACACATTCGCATCGCAAACAGCATGTGAGGTTTTCACCCCGTACATCTGCAATACCGTTCTGGCGGCTCCAGATGTCACTACCAAGCTAGCAGACTTGGGTGGCATTTGGGTCATGGTTCCTTGGCCGCCAACCAGCGCAAACAGCACTGAAAATGCTTGGCACGAATCCGGCCTGCTTGTCTGCCATCGTGTCACAGCAACCCAAATCAGGACACATCTCAGCATTCTAGCCATTTGGAGAGTCTCCTTTGGCATCTCAACTTGGAGTACGACATGGAAGTGCAAGCGCCCTGTGTCTTTGCCCATTGTCGACTTCCAGGACATCATGGCGATTTGGCAACTCGCCTCATGGGCTTCATGCATGAGCTTGAGCTCGCAGATTCCGCTTGTCCATTCTCAGTTGAAATATCCGCATTACATTGCCCAAAGCGACCTAGACAAACAAGTGCTTGCTTCGAAAGCGGAGCCGTTGGTCCAGATAGGGTTGTCAAAGAGTTGCGTGGGACGGTCGGCAGGTATGGGCTGTAAAGCCCAGAGCTTCCTGGACAGTGTTTCCGGAGCCCACAGACTTTCTCAGTTGGCTGATCGAATTTGAGTCAAGGCACGTCTTTGGTCTCTTGAAGAGTTTTTGCAGATCACCAGCTGTTCCTTGCCCGTGTCTAGCCAATTTCAATCTAATACATCAATTGTGTAATATACTCACATGTGGGCGGATGGGAAATTAGGAGCTATGCAGGGCATTTGCAATCGTTTACATGGTATGTAGGCCCAGGCATGACGCAAGGTATTCATATATGGATTTGCTAGGATTGCATAGAGATGTGTGTGTACAGGGGTGGGTTGTCATTCCTAAGGACTGTTCCCTTGAATCTTTAAAGGGTTTCCGAACTGTAAGCTGTTCATGAAAATTAGAGACATTCCATTGCAGCATCGACCACAAGCGGGAGGATCCCAGTGGCTAGTGGCACTTCTGCGATGTTGTAGACAGCCAGATGCCCCAAGTGGCGGCCGCCACGAAGATGGTGCCTCCCAGGCGCCCCATCCATGTGACGGTTGGCACTTTTGAGATTGCAGGCCTGGATCAACGACCATCATGGAGTTTCCGCGCTCATTGCAAAACTATACGATTTTCCAGAAAAGCCAGACCCGTGAACCACTTATATCAGATATATATATATACACATACACATCAGGGATGTCCAAAAATCACATCATGACATACATATACCTATAGATGTACAGATCTATGTATGAATGCTCGGAGGTCTGAAGCGCTGCTTGCGCACCCAGCGCTACCGGGCCCTGTCCCAGCACCGGCACCGGCGCCGTTGGCCATTGGTGGATACAGGCACCATTTGCAACATACAGACCGCTGCAGCAGTGGCATCCTGTGGCTGTGGCCACTGACCACTTGCCTGCTACGTGTATCTCAAGAGCGCACAGGCTACTGGTCTTCGAGCTTGAGGGCGTGATCATCAAACGCGCTCTCCTCATTCTAGAGCAGGTTTAACTAAGTGCCAGACAGTCCTTTCGCATGCGCCAGACCTCCTGGCACCTAACCATGGAACTCAGAGGGCTTCACTGCACGCGTTTCTCATCTCGTGTCAATGGCATGAAATCACAAGTGCTGTCACTGTTGCCTCTTGTGAATATCTGCCGGCTAGCTGCTGCCCCCCTGATTGAACAAATTCTGACTTGCACCCCGCATGCAGGATGCATGTTTTGCCGAAAAGTTCACACTACACGTACCCTGTAGCCCGTTCGATTTTTACTGCTATGTGTCCGAAATTCTTCTGGTGGAATCAAATCTCAGCGACAAAAGCTTCCAGAAGCGAATGGGAAAACACCTGCTGTCTCCTGGTTTTGAACGATGGTGACGACAAATTGGCATGCTGGTGCGACCTGTAGTGTTGCTCAGACAAACAGATGCAAGCCGAAGCCCCAACAAAATTACGAGCATCCATTTCGTTTGGTATCCACGCGGCCGTGGTTTTCTTGTTGCTGTGGCCAAATGTGGCCAAGTAAAGTCTGAGTCACTTCTATCACTGTTGTCTTAGCATGGAAGTCAAGTTGCCAGTGAGTTTTTACCACACCAAAAAGACAAAGAGCATCCGAGAGCATCAAAGAGATATTTCGGACGATGAGCTTGACTGGGCCGCGAACCCCCGATGCGCCGTCAACAGTGGAGTCAGTCATGTAGCCTTATGCCTAAATGGCTAGTCAGCGCATAGTCCATGGTGTTGGCTAGTCAGCGCATAGTCCATGGTGTTTGCTCTTAAGCTTTACCCACGTGCTGTGCCGAAGATAGACTGGCATCAACTAGTGGAAGTAAAGTTTTGATAGCAAACATGACAACGATGCAAATTGCTAATATGAGCCTGGCACAATTAACTGCGTAACCCTGGCATTTTGTTGGAGCCTGAGCCGGAAGCTATCAACCTATAGCATAGCACTTCCCGTTGAAACTTCAGGTGCGTAAGTTGCCTGATGGTGCACACTGGGCCTGACAAGGTTCCCGAAAGATTCAGTTCCTCCCTGGCGTAGATGCGCTTTTCACGTCCCTTGCCTCGCTTCCAGACCCTCCGCAAGTGGCTTGGAGGCCTTGATGTCTCGCACAATGTGGCTTGATGGCCATTGGACGTTATTCTGCATTTCGAAGTCACGTGACCTAGGTAGCCATTGCCACGGATCAGAGCCAAGTTGGGCTGCGCATATGGCTGGAAAGCTTTGCTTCAGGTGACCACATTTAGCGTGCGAAGAGCATCCGTCGCCATCATCACATCGAGAAGGTGTAATGGTAGTGGTGGCAGCTCGCTGGTTTGTCAGGTGATTCTCGCATTTCATCAAAGCCTACAGAGGCGTGGCAGTGGTAGATGGATCCGGGCGAATTTGCTGAAGCCACATGTGTATAAGTGCAGCCGATTCAATTTCAATAGCTGCTTTGCTGCGTGAAAGGCTGAGGCTCGCGGCCGCGTCGATCAAGCTCTGGCAATGCTGTCAGAGGCGCACCGTGGTAATTGTTCCATGATCACCTTCAAGTCCAAACAGAGCGGAGAGACGTACACAAATTCCTATTTGCGTGGCAGGTCATGGGGAAAGCGGTTTCGGCTGGACATGAAGGCGAAGCAGCAGAGTCTGGGCTGAGAGCGACTTGAGCCTGAAGTGGCTATTGCAAACCTGCATGGTGGCATGGTCAATGACCTGAAGTCGCCCCGTGAGCTAGGAAGGCTTGTGGTGCCCTGCTGCCCTGAATCTTGCTTCCTCAGCCTGGCTCGGGTTTGAAGTGAGCTCCGCCGTAGAGGCCAAGAGATGCCAAGACATGAGGCCTGAGAATCATAAGCTCGCAGCTAATATCAGCTACTAATGAGTAGCAGTCAGCATGTAATCTGCAAGCTTAGCAGGCCAACTCGAGAGATGTGAAGTCAAGTTCCTGCAGATGTGTTTAATTGTGCCATGGGAACAAGCCATGGTGTTCGGTGCTGTAGCAGCAAGCTTGTTTTCCATTCGTCGTTTGTAGGTCAGGAGCCCATCCTGACTGCTTGCGTTCCTCCTTGCGAAGGCGACAAAGAAGTGCCGCAACGTGGAGGTCTAGTGGATGCGTTGGAAGGCGGATGGTTCCGCAAGAAGGACTTCAGGCCAGTCGGCGAGATACTGGAAGGGCATGTGATTTGGAACAGATTATGGGGATTCGATGATGCCTGCACCGACATCTTTGAAGATGACCCGCAAACGTTGTCGATGTATCTCCACGGAAAGCGGTTTCAAGCACGAGTTAGCCTGGAAGCACAAGCAACCATAGCATGGAGCGATGGTGATGTGTGGATCAGAAAGTGACACCTGTCTCTCGCTAAAAGAGGCGTAAACACAGACTCTTCGAAAAAAAACGGCTATGAATGTCTCGCCTGCTGTTTCATCTGGGCAAAGCCTAAGAAGGAACAGCATGTCATAGCCATCCGTTTCAGGGCCGCCAAATGCCCGAATCGACATCTGAGCTTTTCAGAACCACTGACCTGACAAGGCTTGATGAACTGCGAAATGATCAGTGGAGTGCATTCCTTTCTGTTGCAGGACGTTTGAGGACCCCTCCTGACCCAGCAACCTGACTCTAAGGAGAAGACGCCACCAACATGCAGGCTAGACGTGGACATGAAGGGATGTGTGGCCAGAACAGAACAAGTGAGCTTAGTAAGCCAGGCCCGACGAATGGTCCTGATATTCGGCAGGACTTTGCTTAGCTTTCGCTATCGAGCACGCGGCTCCGGCCGCTGGGGCCTCGCACCTTCTGGCCGCGATCAAGAAGGAAGCTGGCGAAAGGAGACCTTCTGGGGAGTGTGAAGATTCAAGTGGGTGCTTGCTGCGTGCAGGACTGGGTCAAGCCAGCCCCAGGCCACCGGTGCTTGAGATCTAGCACCAGCCAGGGGATGAAAGAAGCTGCAATGTTTGTGGACATCAGAAGCTCCAATTTGTGAGGCATGATCAAGCAGGCCATCGCAGAGTCTGGCTCTTCCACAGCATTGGTTGTCGGCGCTGCCACACCATTAATCTGCAAGCTAAGCTCAGCCACAGTGCGTTTGCGATAAGTTTTCTGCAAGGCATCCGGTCAGCCTAGGCGTGTGCGCTTCGCAGGCTGCCGTCATCGGAGCAGATCGAGCTGAACCTTTGAGCAGTGAGTCCTCCCTTTAGCGGTCATAGCGGCCAAGGGTTTAGGTCCTAGCAGCAAAGACCTCCGACATTAACGACAGAGAGTGGCGAATCCAAGGACCAAGAAGCAGCAAAAGCAGCTGGAGCAAGCTTCATCTGGGCATCTGATCTGTTCAGAAGCTTTGCCCCCAGCAAAGCTGGCCAAGCTCTGGCCTCAAATCCTGACAAGCCTAGCCAGTGGCCGTGCCATGTGAAGAAGTGATTTGGGAAGGCAGCTGCAAGCGGGGCATGCCGCAAGACGTCAAAACGCGAAGAGCAAGACCGCGCAGGCCTATGAAGCTGGAGATTGTGTGAAATTGTGTGTAGCAAGTTTAGACGAGCGTCGGTCTTCCACGTAATCTTGCCAGCCCTCGTTAACTACCCCATCGCCAGCAAGGGAGGATTTAGAGTGGATTCTTGGTCCTGTACTGTTCTTTGTCGTGGGATAAACTTCCTTTCAAACAGGTTATTGGTTCCGAAGGAGGGAGGAGGGTATGCAGCAAGGTTTCGTCCCACTACTGTACTGACTGCTGGTAGCACAGGCCAGCATGGCCAGCACATCGGCGGATGGAGGTCCGGCGTCTCGTGGTCCGCAAAAGAATTTTGAGGATCCACATTTCAGAGTGGTCTGGAGGAGCCATGTTGCAGGGAGTGCAATGGAAAACTGCTGAGGTCTTGCTTCCACATCAGAGCGACAGTGGTGCCGAAGGACGTGCAAGCATACTCAAACAAGCTGACTTGTTGATGATGACTGTCCTGAAAGTCGCTGAATGCTTCGCTGGCTTCAGCAGTCAACCCAAAGCTGCAGCTCAAGGACTTGTGATAGACCTCGACGAGGAACCTGATGCCGATGACTGCGTCGGCGAAAAATGGGATCTTTATGCGGTGAAAGACGGAGTAAAGACGACGCTTCTCAAAGCCCCATGCAGGCCAAGGAGTGCCCAAGGCCTTTGTCAGCTTTGACGAGGCCATATTTGAGCCTTTGCTGTGCAAGCTCGTCAGATAAGAATAAGAAGCTACATGCTTGTAAGCGCGATGTCCGATGGTGTGAGCACGCGATCAGTAAAACTGGTTGCACACTATCCAGGACGACATCTCTGACAGCGGTGGGCCCAGGGTGCTGTTGGATGCTGTGAGTGTACCGTGCAGCGTCTGCAGACTGCATGTTGGCAGCTGTTTTCCAAGCAGCCTTGCTCAACCAGATCAAGGCATCACAGAGATACATAGTGTGCCATGTTGGTTCCTTGGTATTGGTATTGCAGCAGCGTCCATGGACCCTCAGTTCGGTGCGTGAGGGAGCTGAACTTCAGGAGGTCTCAAGAAAACAAGTACATGCTACTCGAACATGGCGCTAGCGGCAAAGACATCGCACAGCGCGGCGCTGCATGGTCACCTTCTTTGCTCGTGGCATGGCTGCTTTCAGTTAGGCAAAATCTTGCCCGTATGCATGTGCCGGCTCCTTCTAACGCATAATCTTATCCAGCATCGCTCTCCCTAGCCAAGGTGTTGCTTCCGCTGCTGAACCAAGCAGTGGGTGAGATGCATGTGCTTGGTGCCGGAATGCCTCGCACAGGCCTGCCCGTTACGGATGAGGGTGCTTCATGAGAGTTTGCAGACGGAACCTGTCATTGCTGAGCAGCTAAAAGAAAGGCTCTACGAATTTCATAGTGTACTTGCTTGAAGCACCTGTCCTGTAGGCACTACAAGCTTACGCGCCGCACTGCATCAACTTGGCCTACGAGCCTTCCACATGCAGGACGGGGGGAACTCCAGAGAAATTCAGCTTGTGCATTGTGACGCGAGAGACCGTCCCTGCTGAGACTGCAGTAGATGCTGGTGGCATCTCTTGTCAACTGGCGTGTACTGTAGCGTGCAGAGGACATCCTGGTATCCACTGAGCACTCAAAAGCGTGGTTGGATTATGTGACAGACCAGAGCACATTTGATGATTTGCTAGCCTCTTGGGCAGCACCTTGACGCCTCCGAATCTTCAACAATAGAACATAGAGTGAGGCCAGACCGTCCCGCTTGAGATTGGTGTGCCGAAAAAAATTCTGAGGTAATGTGCCTTGATAGCAACGTCTAAAGCTGAAACTCCACGGCCTAGGATCATGTCCTGAAAGCCGGGTTCAATGCAACCGTTGACGCTCCCTTCAACCATTTCGTAGATCAGTTGGTGCAGCGGTTTCCGTCTGCATTTTGGCTGCAAGTGTGACGAAACTGGAGCTCTAGCCGCCGTCAGGAGATGGTCTGCATGTGCCAGCATGGGATGCGTCTGGCGTTTCAGGCAAAAGTGATCCTCACCGTGCGTGACAGCAAAGACTGGGCACAAAGCATGGCCAGCTTTAATTTCTTCATGGAGGCCACAAGGCCGGGTCCAGCATCATGTTGCCAGACAGGAACCACGCTAGGCACAAGCGTATGTATTATACTTCAATTGGGACAGATTTGGACAGATATGATGAAGCAGGCGTCGCCCCTTCAATTTCTTCGAGCCCTTTCGTACGCTGGAGCTTCTGGCGCAGAGGCTACCCAGGACCTATTCCTGTGAAATATGTTGTCGCAGTTGATCACACACTCTGTGTAGCTGTCTTATGAGGACTGTCGTGCCATCAGTCTTACTGCTAGTGCCCGGCAGTGGCACGACCCCTATGAGCATGCAGGAAAATCCAAATGAAGCCGCGCGTCTTTCCCCACCTTGGCGAGAGGGAAGATGCATATCTCGCCCGAGCTTTGCCTGATGTTGGAAATGCTAAGCGAAAAGGCATCTCCATGCCTAGCTTCATTCAGAATGTCTTGATTCGCAGCTGGGTGTGGGGTTTGACAGTCCAGGCATCTTGCAGCAAAAGTGCAGAGGACTTGGCTCAATCTGAGGCATGCAAGCAGACTGGGTTGCGCAAGTTTCTCGGCCAGAACGTCTTCAACAGGACCAGTCCTATCCTGCAGCAACATTGCCTCCAATATCTATTCCAGAGACACAATGCAACGCAACATATTTCAACAAATGCCATTGGATCAAACATATAGATTGCGTTAATAGCGGTCGCAGGGGGTGGGTTGGCTTCTGGCAACATTCTTCCTCGCAAGGTGCGGAAAGTGGTGCCGCAGGAAAAGCTGCTGATCTTTAATGTGGCTGAACTTCAGGAAGAGGTAGCGGGTCCTGGTGCAGCCAGTAGATCCAGGAATTTCTTTCGATGGTTTCTAGACTCTAGATACTTCAACTCTCCTCCTTCAGGTCATTCGGCTGCTTTATTAGTAGGGAGGTCATGCTGCAAGCCTGAGCAAAACGAGTTCAAGAAGCAGCCAACCTGTAGCGTGCCAGAACGGGAAAGTGGCAACTTGTTGATGACCAGTCAAGGTGGCAGATGGCTGGGACCCTCTTTGCAATTTTCTGGAGCTACCCTCACCTCAGGGCGAGTTCCCGAAGCTGAATCAGGGAAGCAAGGCAAGGCTTTTGCAAAGCCTCTCTCCTGGTGAATGCTTTGGTCTGTGGGTTTCCCAATGTTAGGATTACCTTGAGTTTGGGGACCCTAGACTAGCCCTATACTGAGGATTACAGAAGTCAGGGGTCTGTATTGGGGCCCCCCATGTATGCAAACTACCATTTTCTCTTCTACTCAAGCCTTGCCACATCGTGTAAATCTAGGCGCATCAAGTTCAGCCAGAGCAGTGTCTGCTGGGGGACAACCCCGTAAACACATGTAAACACTGAGTTTGCCCCTAGCCGCGAACCTTGCTGGGGTTATTGTATGGAGGCAAGAAATGCATTATATAATATTATATAGGGATTATATGCCCTCATTCCCTACAAGCCATCAGCAAGCTAAGGTCCTTTGCGCGTAGGATGAAGCACTGAGTTTTCAATTTTCACGAAGAGCAATAGAACCATGACTGATGCAAAGAAACTACCATTGAGGGGTTCGGGTTTACAGTCAAAGAATATAAGGATATTATAGGGGTCCTGTAGGCGAATGGGGAATATGGGGATGTTATAGAGGCAACCTGAGCAGCATGCAGGTACAAACCCTTGGCTACGTCTTGCATTTCCTCTGCTGGACCTGGCCGGTGTATCCAGCAGCCTTGTTGCTTACTGGTTGTTAGTCGGGGATAATGGGATTATTTATTTGGGGGTTATATCGGGATTATATTCCATTATTCTCTACTAACAACCAGTAAGGTTGCGCTTCGTCGTCAAGTGTTTGTGCTGCCAAAAGCGGGTGGTCAAGGACAAGAAGCTGGCTTAGCGCGCTGGGAAAATCGGGGTTTCCCAAAATCAGGGGTTCTCGTTTTGGGGTCCCTATAATAAGGGTCAGAGTATAGTATGAAATCGAATTTTGGGGTCTGTATTGGGGGCCTCCTGTTTATGGGAAACTACCAAATGTGAAAGTTGTCTGTCCGGCTGCCCGCATGTCTGACATATACCATCTGATAGAGTCCGCTCTCATATTCTGGGTTGCCTGAAGCGTCGTGCGGCAGGCATTGCTCTGACTGGATCTCCGCAGTTTGCGGCTTGCGGTACGAACATGCTCATTTGTCTACTATTTACTGTGGCAGGAACTCACATACCTCCGGCACGAAGTGATGTCGTAGCAAAATGCTTGGGAGAAGGCAGAGAAATCCCTACGTAGCTTCAATTGCACCCATGCAGCAACCAGTCATGCGTGCCAGCAAGTTTCACGCCCTTAGTGGTAATCACCTGCACTTCATGCCATGCAGCTCAATGGCCTTGCATCCTTGACCTATGCGGCGGGCGATCCTGGTAACAGGGGTCCTGCTGGGGGCAAGTGTGTCCATTTTGCTTGACAATTATGGTGGCACAGGTGCAGCATCCATTCAAGTGCTGCATCGATTGACTCTGACCCTGTCATCTGGCCCTGGTGCAACTACAGGGCTTGAGGTCTTTGACAATGCACCTTCGCAAAGCAGAGGGCAAGGGTCACCATCAAGTGTTTTGGAGCAGGT